GAACATACTCCTTAATACTCATTAACTGCACTTTTTGGATAAGTTCAAAAGTACTTGATATTAATCTGAAAAATATCTTTCTTGGCTCCTGCTACAACAGAGTAGAACTAAAATGCTGTTGGTGAAATATAGTAATTTCTCTTTTGAAGCCTATATTAAAAAATAATAATCTGATTTTCATAACACTCATCCCTCAGGTTCAGACCATTTAAAGCAAGATGCACATGGTTTTATTGATCTGTAATGATTATGATTAGCCAACTAATTAATATTGTGCCATTTCTTACCCCTCATTTTGAGCCCTGATCTTTGCAGAGCATTTCTGATGGATCCAAAGGCTGGAAAAGATCCACAAGCTGTCAGTGCAGACAGTAGGTGTGTGTATGTATGTGGAATGGCTTGTTGGTGGCAAGGATGGAAATGAAGCCCTTCTGTGACTCTATTTAACCATTTGCTTTCTTTTCTCTTTTTTTTGGGGGGTGTGGGTTGGATGAATCAACAGAAGTTATCCCAGGAGCGGGAGAAGTTTGCTGATGAGGACAGCATCTTTTATGCCCTTGGAGAGTGTGGACTCATTTCTTTTTCTGACTACATCTTCCTGACAACAGTCCTCTCCAGTAAGTACAGTGTGGTGGGTTGGTTTTGGTTTTTTCCTCTCTGCTTTTTGAAGTTTTGAAGGTTGACAAGCAATGAGTTTGTTATTGTTGTCTGCATACCTTTCCCTAAAAGGAATTCTTGATGGCTTGGAACTGGAGCTGAGTGAAAAATTGTTCTTTTTTCCTCTGGTTTAGGCTTAGCTTTGAGTGGTTCAGAAAGTTAAGCAGATGGATGACTTGGAAGATTGATTTCTCATGTTTAAAAGTGACTTTTTTTTTTATTTTCTAATGAGTGATTTGAGCTGCTGTTCAAAACTGTCCGTGGAGATGTGTTCTGGAGTTGTTTGGATGAATATTCCTTTTCAGAGCTCTTCACTGGCTCCAAGACTTCAGACTCTTCTCCCCAGCTGTATTTTCACTTGCATAAGCTCAGGCCTGTGTGGTGTAACCCAATGAGGAGAGAAGTTAAGCTGTTTACTTTTCAACAAGTATCATTAGATACCGTCTGTCTTTTCACCCTGCTGCACTTGACTTGCATTTGTGATATTTCTGTGATCTGCTCATCTGTTCCAGCATAGCCTTCTGCACTTGGAGTGCTGGCACTTTGCTTTGTTGGCAAGAAGCAGTGAAACTCAAGTCTTTGATAATGTCAAACAGTGCTTCTAGGCTGACTTCATGGGGAAAGGTAGCTCAGAGCTTCATGTGCAGAGCTTCTCGAGCTGCTTGAAGGTCAAAACAGGTCATCACAAATAGGGAAGTCTAGAAATTCCAGTTATTTTTCAGCTCCATTAGAGAGTGGGCTGGTAGAGCTAGGTTAGTAGTGCTAGGTTAAAGCTTGGGTTGGGTGATCTTACAGGTCTTTTCTAACCAGACCAATTAAAAAAAGTGAGGAAGGTGCCACTGTCCAAATGGACTTGAGACATTTTATTTTCAGACTTGGAAAAAAAATAAAAAGAGAGAAAATGTAGCCATCTAATCTTGTGTCTGTTTCCTGATGATCTGATCATAGGAATGAGAAAGCTTGGACACTTCCCAGCTTGCTCTAGTCCCCAATTGCTCCCTGCTGTTCAAGGGCTCAGCCAGGTCATTCACTGAGGTTTTGTAAAAGCAACAGGTGCTTCATGATTTTGTTTCCCCCCTCTGTGTTCTTGCACGTTGTGACAGAGCCAGAAGAAAGAGACAGCTCTTCATTTCCCAAGCAGGGCATTTCAGAGGATCTGTTACAAGGGAGAAGGTCTCATTTGGCTCAAGGTCTCATTTGTTGTCAGACAGACGTGGTGGGGGAAGACATGTATGTGACCTTCATGTTGTGAAAACAAACACTGAGAGATGAAGCTCGTTGGAATTTTTTTGTATCATTTTAATCTGCTTCATTTGTTGTTTGGTTCTCAGAACTGACTTTTCAGCCTGTTGTTGTTCCTTTCTTACCTTAGTCTGGCCTGTGCTGAAACTATCTAAGGTATTTTCTGCTTGTGGTGTGATGGCTTTTAAACCCCATCTCCTCAGATGACGACCAACTCACGAGCTGATGGTATCGCATTACTAAACGTGGTTCAGAAAACACTCATGCCCTTGGCTCTGTGGCTGGTGCTGGTGCTGAGCAGCCCCCTCATCAAGTATGCAGGGTGCAAAATTAATTTCATGGTCTGCCACAGGCAGCCAAGTGAGCTTGTTCTTGCTTTGCTTTAATTTCTTTGTCGTGAGGATAAAAGAAAAGGGACCACCTTGTGCTAGTGGAGTAGCCAGCCTTGTTTTGGAGGGCTGTGTGGGAGGGAGAGGTGTTTTTTTCCTCTTGTTCTTGGGCTTTTAACATGTTTGCAGTTACTGGGGAATCAGACTAACATGAGCAGACAGAATTGGGTGGCATGTGCTTGGAAGAACAATGTGGAAATTGGGCAAGGCAGGAGCTTTGGAAAAGAGCAATTGAAAAAGAGAAGAAAAGTAAGTGTTCTGGGACTTCCAGGTTGACTTTCAGGTTTTCAGGTTGAGTTTTAGGTGTTTTGGGAGTTTGCTGAATGGTTATTGAAGATGGAGGGGTATCTCTGGAGCTGCTGACAAATAGGGATTCCCCTGAGATAGTGTTTTGGTTTCAATCTTAAAGCAGTTGCTTTTATAAAAACTGCCAAACAAAACTTCTCCTGTGGCTAGATAGAAGATGAATTATTTGCTACACTTGTTTACACTCCGACTAGTAAATATTACCTTGCAGGAATCCAGTAGTTCCTGATAATTGTGTCTTTTCCCTGGGAAATAAAATAAATTGAGGAAAGTAGATCTCAAACCTGACAGTTCAATATTGGTTTTCTCACTGTGGTGTTTAAATAGCCCAAGCATTAAGAAGGTTTCTGGGCAAGGGCGAGTTGTAGGTTACAGTAAACATCTAAAAGCCACCAAGTATTGAGAAAATCAAGTGGTGTATTGATCACTGAAGCAGGATAATCAGAAGGGGAAGTCAGGTGGGATCTGAGGGTGGGAGGCAGGAGGGAGAGATGCTCCTCTGCTGTGCTCAGGTCAGTCGTGATCTGGTCTGGCTTCTTGAACTCCAGACGGATCTGTGATAACCTCTGAAAACAAGGCACCCCAAGGGCCTCCTGGTGTTGTGCTCCTTGGGAGGGTCATGCCCAGCAAGTCTGAGATGGCTCCTGCCCACCTCTCTGCCTCTGCCAAAAGCCCCTCTGGACTTGGAGAGTGATTCCCAGAGCTTTTCATTTAATTTCCCTTTGCAGCTGAAGCTGAAGCTCTCTTTAGTCGTGTTTCCTGACACAGGGGTTGCTGCTGGGGAGGGAGAGGAGGAGAGAGGGCTGAAGGCTTCATCTGCATGTTGCTGGCAGAGAGCTCTGTGCACCCTGCACAGAAAATCAAGTCTGTCACCATCTTTTATTTACAAGGGCTTTCTCTCCAGCACTGTCTGTTCTCATCCATTGCCCTGTTTCTGTGGAAATGTATTTTTAAAACAGCTAATAAAATAGCATTTAACTGCTTCAGCAAGTCAGCCTTGTATTAAAGGCAGGGAGAGCTGAGTGGCCTTGAAGACACTGTCATTGTCCCTCCAGCAAAGGGAGAAGAATGAGTAAAATATGGGATAAGCAAAATGCTGCTGGAAATTCCCCTGGGTCCTTCAGATGTCCCAGGAAAGCCAAGACATCAGTTCACTGACCCAGAGGTTTTTGGACTTGCAGAACAGGTGGAGGAAGGAGAGAAAGAGCTTTTCCATCCTTGGCCACTGCAGTTGCCCAGTTCATGTGGTCCATTGTACAGGCACACTAATGCCAACTTGATTAACAGGCACTGAAGGGAGCTGAGTGTTAAAGGGTGAGTCAGTGGTGTTGCTGTAATTGGGCTGTCACTGGGGCTGGATTTACTCCTCCTGGAGGGTAAGTTAAATAGCATTGGCTCCAGCCACAGCAATTACTCTCTTTCAGACCTGCAGCTCCTTCTCCCACCTCCTGCAGGTTCTTTCTGGTTCTTTCTGCTGTCCCTTGTGGGTGCTGGCCTGCAAAAGGCCCATTTGTAGGATAGATTCACCTTTTTGAAAGAATTTCTTTATCCTGTGTAGAAAATTAATCTCAAACCATCCATCTTTGGAAATTATTTGCTGGCAGGGTTTTGATTAAGTGGTGTTGGTTACCAGGAAGGTCTTCAGCCTCCTTCCGTGCCACAGGTGAGATGGATGCTCTCACTGGTGGTGTTTTGAGGCCTTCTCAGCCTCACTATGTGGTGCTGGGATGTTTTCAGTTCCCTTCTGCCAGCTCAGTCACTGCTGTGTGTGGTTTCCAAGATGTGTATGAGCAGTTTTGCTTCTGGTGAGAGTAAATGGCAATAGAGAGCAAAAATAGTTAAAAAATACATCAATGGCTTAAAGATGCCCAATAAGCCCATCTAATGCCTCAGATTCTGTAGAGGCTTTAACACTGATGGATCAGGTGGGTTTCTCCATGTGGTCAGTGCTGCTGCTCCTCATTTGTCTGCTAGAGGTTTCTGGTCTCTGTGACACTGTTGTGTGTGGCTTTTGGTTTCCTCATGGCCTTTCTTCTCCCAGATATTTGCTTTGAACAAAGGGGCCAAGAAAAATGTGAGTTGCCCTTTCCATTAACTCCCAGGGGAGTTGATAAAGCACCTTGGTGTGTAGAGCTGGTGGAGTTGTGGATCTACAGAACTTCAGTGTGGTTTTCTGCAGGTATATGCATATATCTCAAGGCAGGGAATAGGTAACCTATGGATTGCTGTTGGTGTGGGCTCCAGTGCTGTGCTTTCATTTGTCTTAAAGATTTGAAAGAACCATGAGGAAGCTGTTGCCTTCTCCTGAACACCCTAAGACTAGAAATGAAGTTGGAAAAGAAACTGCAGCTGCTCTGCCCTGTCTGGGACTTGTTGCCCGAGGTAAATTCATTGCAATGAAAAAAAAAAAATTGGATTCTGAGTCATATCAAAAAGGATGGTGAGGAGATGGCTCCCAACATCAGAGTGAGCTGGGAAGCGCAGCTCAGCACTCAGGGAATTCCAGAGGTGGTTTTCCCTTGTAAAGGGAATTACAGGCCAAGTTCTCTGAGTGGGTTTGATAACCATTGTGGGAGGAATCTTCCATTCATTTGGAAGCATCTTTAATTAAGGAGGCAGTAGGGAGATTCAGAGAGGCTGCAGTGGAGGGGTGAAATTGGGCTACCAGAATAAAAGGGGGGCTGGAGAGAAAAAGCTAAGTTAGATAAGCAGAGCACTGCCTGCTGCTTTGTTGGGCTGCAAGTTTCTGAAAGATACAAGAGGAAGAAAAGAAATGGAGGTTGTACAGGCTGATGTAACCATGAGTAATGGGAGGGGGGGGGGTGGTGTAGCTGCCATGGGAAGGGCTCTTTCCCAATAAATCCCAGTCAGAAACATCAGGCCCCAGAGGAAAAGCAGAAATCATCTCCCTGGGGTTCAATAAATTCAGGCTGCCCAGAGATCAGGGCCATAGATCTTGATGAATGTTTCTTCCTGAGCTGGATGAGCTAATTGTCTTTAGTGCCCTCTGGCTTCTGTGGCTTGGGTTCATAGTTGTTGGATTGAAGTGTAGCTACAAGGAATTGGGGTTGGATGGGCAGATGGGAGGAAGAAACGAGCTGTGTCACATATTAGCTAAAGGAATGAAGTAATTAAATTTGCCAGTTTAAAGACTTGTCTTCCCTGTCCTTAGAAAACACTGACCCTGCAGATTTTTTATGCTGAACTGTTCATTTTTAATTTTGCAAGTGGTGTTCTCCTCTGGGGCTTTGGTAAACTGCTCTTGGAAATGTGTGTTTAGAGAAGGGGAAGGAAGGACATGGCCTCTGCCAGGGGGAGGTTGGGCACCTTCCTTTCTCTGTTCACCCTGTGTCTGCCCAAATAAGACAACAGGATTTTCCTTTTCCATCAAGAAAAAGGAGGGGGAGGAGATAAGCCCAAACACCAATTTTTAACAAGGGGCAACTAATTTTTCCCATCTCCGAGTATGTATCATTGTACCCTGGCAGGGGAAATGGAGGAAGAAAGATGAGATGTATACATTGCTCTTGTTCTAGCTTCAGTTGGAGCTTTGTAGAGGTCCCTGTTTCCTCCTAGAGGAAACAACTCTTTGGGTTTTGAGAGCTAGCAAGGAGAAATTCATCCAGGCTTTCCCATGATACGTGCAATTAGAGTAAATAAATGTGGATGTGTTATTTAAACATTAGGAGGGAAGCTGGGAGTTGCTTGATGTTGTTGCATCAAGGAAATGGGGAATTAATTGCTGGAAGTGATGGATGGATGCAGAGGAGGCTTTCTGTATGAATCCCTTTAATTAGATTACATGGCCCAAGAGAAGATGAAGCAGGTGTTGGGGGCAGCCTGCGCACATCTCAGCACTGAAGTCCTGAGGGGTGGAGAGGAAAGGCATCCCTATCCCACTGATGGGACAGAGAAGCTGGAGGGAGGCTTGGCTTCTGCTGCCCCAACACCTGCTGCTGGCAATGGCTGTGGGTACAGGAGACACCACTTGTGCACCTGGTGTTGGGAACTTAAAGCCCAAATAGTTGGCACAAGGAAATGGGAAGTCCAGGGCTGGTAAGAGCTGTTCCTGCCATGGAGTTTAAGGTTACACATCTGTCTGAAGCACAAAGTGCTTGGAAAAAGTGAGCTCATTCAGTTGTCTGAGTCTTTTAGCCATAAAGTGCTGCAGTTTTCTTATGGCCAGGGGAGAACACCATGTCCAAGTCTCCTGGCCCAAAACTGTAACTCATGTACTAAATCCAGTTCGGGTAATTCCATATTCATTTCTTGTTCTGTGAGAGATTTCCCCTCTCACCCCTGTCTGGGAGGTGCCTTCATGCAAAACACTGGTGCAGAAACTTGTTACTTTTTGAGCAGCCAAAGAAACATTACAAGTTGATTGTAACAGATGAGGTTAAAGGAGGACAAGCCTGAGCCAACGATCCCTGTCCTGCTGCCAGATTTAGGTGGGAAAAGCCACTTTCAGAACAAAAAAAAGGGTCTACAGTGCGACTGATCATCTAAGATGAGAGCCTAAGCACTAGAGGATTCCCTAGAAATCTCAGCAAAGACCAAAATTCCTGTAGGTGGTAGGAACTGGGATGTAGCAGAGCAAGAGAAATTCTCATATATTAGCTCCATTTGGAAAAAAAATCATAGTACTCTTGTAGTTTTAAACAGTGATGGGTTGCAGAGCCAAAAAGGGAAACCTCCAGCAATGCTCTGGTGGGATGCAGGGAAGTAGTGTGGTTTGGCTGGCATGGGTGGCTGTGAAGGAATGTTTTTTTCAGAGGTCTGGCTGAATAAACCATGACAACTAAGTGCAATGAAGAGTAAAGTACCACTGCCTCAGCTGCATCTCCAGCTCGCCTATTATCTGGGTGTCATAACTGGCCTGAGGCAGAGTTGGTCATGATTTGGTTAAATTTGCACAGCTGAGTCTGGAAGAGAATTGGCCCAAGTCCAGGTCAGGTCCTCAGCCACTTGGCTGCTTCACCAAGCACGAGAATGTGTTCTGCAGCACTGGAGGAACTGACCAAACTGGTGTCATGCTGTGTGGAGCTCTGGCTACAGGGTCAGGTTCTGTTGGTTGTCATTGGAAGTATCAACTGCTCTGCTTTTGTGCTTTTTCAGTCTGCAGATGGCATCAGTTTTGTCCAAGGAACATCTTTTCTGCCTGACCTCCTTGTCTAGACCTTTGGTGAAAGGAGCACCACGAAGCTCAGCTAGTGGTTCCCAAGAGCTGCATTTTCTTAAAATTGGAAGGATTAGGGAAAATGGCTTTTGGATAGTCATTCTGAGCTTGTGCCTTTTTAAATTGAGCTTTTTAAATCTTTATTAACTGGCTTTTGCTTTTTATTCTGTGTTTTTATGTAGCTCCCCAGAGGAACTTTGAAATTGCCTTTAAGATGTTTGATCTGAATGGTGACGGCGAGGTGGACTTGGAAGAGTTTGAGCAGGCAAGTTGATCAACTGGTGGACTCCTTCATTCTGGGGCAGCACTCCTCTGTGATGGTGCTGTGATTTATATTTGTGGTTACTGCTGGTTTGTCTCTTCCTTCTATGCTCTCCTGTGTTCCCTCAATGCCTGGTGTCTTTTACTGGGTGTTTCAGGACAGAATTTTTCAGTCAAGCAAAACAACTGTGAGTAGAAACTCCAATTTCCTGTGAGTTTGTCACCAAGGTGTCTTGATCAGATGTCACCTCCAAAGGAGATCAAGATTTTTTTTTTCACTCTACTGGTGTAATTTTGATCCTACTTTCTTCCACAGCTTTTTGCATTCCTTAGTTTTGTTGGTCCTCAGAGAACAACCAGAGTGAAACTGCATCAGAGAAGAATTCGGCCATTTATTTCAGTGTAATCAAAAAGATGTTTGTTGAGAGTGTATTTTCATTAGTTTCTTTCCCCTGCTTACAAGGTTGCATCAGCAGGGAGTTTGATGCAGGATTTGTAATGAGTTTAGCCTGTGTATGTGGTACTGGTGAGGTCCTTGTAGAAGGTTTGTGATTGTGTAAGGGTGAGAATAGATGGAAGGCTCGAGTTGTCGGGAGGGGAATGATCTGACTTGCCCCAGCGGAGGTCTGTGGTTTGCTTGCCTCTGTAGAAAGCAACCTTAAGGCTTTGGAAACTCATCAACATCCTGAAGCTACTGTATATTTACAAAGATCCATGTACATGCTACTCTTGAAAGGAAAAGTAACTGCCATTGCAAAGAGGAGAATGGGCTGGTTGGATGAGGAGGCCCTACCTCTGTTATCAAAGAACAAGGCAGAGGAGATCCACTGCTGATCTACCTAATATTCCTGTGCTCCCAGCACCACATCTGTGACCACATCACATCCCTCAGGGCAGGGGATGGGGAAGTGGAAGCTGCTGCTATGGTGAAAAAAATCACCTGTCCTAGTGGGGCAGTGGGTTTTGATGTTGGAGGACATGTGTGTTTGGAGACAATGACAAGCTGTCTGCTCCTGCCCAAGAAAAAAGCAGCCCTGAATAGTACAGTTAGGAATTCTTACTCATGGGTTGATGGAATGATGAGGTAACTTCAGAAGAGCCTGCAAGAGATCATGCTTGGGGCCCTTGCTATAAATGGGAAGGACTAGTGGCAAAGCAGGTCTGCTAAATGAATTCCCTCCCTTCTAATCTTTTTGCTGTCATCCTCATGAAATGATTGCCTGTGGGTATGATGTCATTGTGAGGAGCTTGTTCCAGAGCTGTGACACGTGCCTGGTTAACTGCATTTTTAGATGCCAATGTTGGACTATTCCTATAATGGGAGTGTGTTTAGCTGCAGTGTGATACCCCTTCACATGACAGTTTGTAACGTAAACCCAGGAGTTTCTTTTCCTTCAAATGCAAATCTGAATCCACTGGTGGGTCCTGCTCATTGTGCTGTTTGGCACTGCCTCCCTACCAACTATGGATTTAGCTATGAAAAATTCCAAGCTTCCCATTTTCTCAAGTGAAAAACAACTGCTCTTCCTGCTGTTTTAGAGTGAAACCACTTGTGGAGATGAGTTCATTTAAGAAAAGCAGGGAACAGTTCACTGCCAACTAAAACGCAGCAATGCCAAGGTGCTGATGCAGGTGTTAAGTTAGGCTTTTTTATTATTATACATGTAAAGTAAGAGAATTTTTTTTGAGGATGAATATTTTAGAAGTGCTGTCAAGATGAAGGTACAAAATGGAATTAAATGCTTTCAAGTCATCTGGTAGACAAAGGGAAGTTTTATGGCCAATAAGTCATCTGAAAATCCTTAGGAAGGGAGACATTTTTTTGTTAGGCTTGTTACATGTGTCACAGTCTCTATATCAAGGAATAAAATTCTTGGTTAACATTGGAGTTTTTTGGGGAAGATTCATCTTCCAGAGCTTCCAAGTCAGAGGGTGAAGGACCTGTTTTGGAAAGTGAGAAGCAGCTAACAATATCTTTGCAGACATTTGTAACTGATTTGCTGTATGTTGGAAAGAGGATGAAAGCAAAGGCAAATTTATATGATAAATATTATTTTTCAGTCCTTGTTGAAATGCCTCAGTAAGAGCATGAAGGCTGGGAGGGTTTGGAGACCTTTTCCATAAAGACCTTCCCTGGCAGGGGCAGCTGGAACTGGCCCTTCCAGGGCAATGTGCTACTAGAGGTGGCACCAGTTTGAAAGAGCAAGATGTTTTTGGGGAGAATGGGAAGAAAAAGAAGAGGAAAAGGTTCATCACAGAAGCACTGAACAGTTCCTGCTTGCTGGGAGCAGTGGGAATGAGTTTGTTTCTCTTCACATGTCTGGAGACAGCCAGCAGCAGGTCTCTTCTTGTTCATGTCTAACAAACCTTAGGAATATTGATCAAGGATGAAAATTACTTGTGGTGATTTAGCTAATATGTGAGTCAGAGGCTTTAACTACCTCATAAGATGATATTTCATTTCTTCAGGCCTTGCTGAAGAGCTTCTTTTTTTCCCAGCTGATCCCTATGATTAGTGCACAGTGCTCAAGACTTTGATGCCTTCCTCGGTATCACCTTCAATGTTTCATCCTTCATCTGAATTTGAGTTTCATCTCCTAATTTTAATTAAAAAGTCAGATGAAAAGTAGTCAACTCTCAAGCAGTGTTACACATTATTTCTCTTCAAACCTCTAACTCCTTTGATTTCTTTCTCTGTTGCAAATGATAAAACAGATCACAGACACTTGAGGCTGAAATAGCTAGAGAAGACAGAGAAGCCACTTTGTGCTTCCTATCCTTGTGTGATCCATGAGCTGTGAGGGGGGACAGCTCTGGTTGGGCTGGAGGACTTCTTGCAGTGGCTTCCTGCCTTTTAGGGTATTAGAAGAATTAGCCAAAGTAGGGACCAGCCAAAGAAATTTGGCTCCAGTGCCCACAGATGGATTTTCAAACTGATACTTGTTCTAGATGGGGAGAGCAGAGGGGTGTAGGATGCTTTATAAAGAACTCTCAGGGAAAAAGATGCTCTGTTGAGCAGCCTGGAGTGTGGTAAACACTTTTGCAGAACCAGGGGCAGTTTTCCAAGCTGGTCATAAACTGCATTGTTTCAAGGCAGTTTATAAATATTTGTCTCCAAAATGTGCACAGAGAACTTGCAGTTAAAGTGGAGCATAAGGCAAACCCCAGAACTGCTGTTTACAGTGCAAAAATCCTTCCTCACATCTCAGTGTTTATATCAAAGAAAAAAAACCAAAACACCAAACCATTTTTCTGTTTATTTTCTTTCCCCTCTATTTTTTTTCCCTCTGACTTGACTTGGTTTTCTTCCTAGTGGAAGCCCCTAGTAATCTGTGGTTTGTGTTTCAAGCAAGGTTTCGTTCCAGAGCATCCCCTTGGGGTTTGTTCCAGCAGTTGCTCTCATGTTAGGAAGACAAGAATTGTTTCTTATAACTCATTTTAAGCATTTTTATACTCTTTTCTTTCTTGAAAGAGGACTGGAAAAAACCCCAAAGCCTCAGTCCAGTCAGATGTTTGTATTGTTGTGTCAAGAATTATTTCAGGAAGAAGAAGAATAAGAATAGAGGGTGGCATGTCTGGGCCTGCAGTATTTGGTAGTCATGCTTGACTAGTCCAAGTTCCAGGAGTGTTTTTGATGGTAACATCTTCCTTCTTACTCCTAGGTGCAGAGCATCATTCGCTCCCAAACCAGCATGGGCATGCGCCACAGAGACCGCTCGACCACGGGGAACACCCTGAAAACTGGTTTCAACTCAGCCCTGACCACCTTCTTCTTCGGGGCAGATCTGAAGGGCAAACTGACCATCTCCCACTTCCTCGACTTCCAACGCAAACTGCAACACGACATCCTTAAGCTGGAGGTTTGTTTCCCACCTGTGGTGGGAGAGGGCAGTGCAGCGTGGATGTGGAACTTCTCCCAGGGGGAAGGGTTGGCTCATTCCAGCTGGGCCCTGAAGGACCAGAGTTCACAACCATCCCCATGATACTCTTTATCTCTGCTGTTGTCCCCACCTATTTTTGGGTGTGGAAGTGTTCAAGCCTAGCGTGAATCCTGCTAAATCAGTGGGGTCTGTGTTGTGTGACCTCCCTTATTCCCTCCTGGGTTATAATGTGTCCACATATTCTGGGACTTGTACCCTTCAACTGAACTGAATGTCTCCTGTTTGATTTGCTCTCCCAGGAGTTAACAGCAGCTCCCAGTATTTACTTTTCAGTGATTTCAGACAATTTGATGTCTTTCTGGTGAATGTCAGTTGCCTTCCTAACAGGTTATTTACTGGGGACAGTATAAAGTATGTCTCTCTTGGGGAGTTAATGAGTATCATAAGCACATCATTACTGGGCTCCTGACAGCACCCCTGAGCACAGCACCATGCTTAGCATTTTTTATACCATGTTAGTAGAAAAATTGACTTAGGTGAGAGTCACAGTTCTGTTCTGCCCAACTTCATATTTTCCGGAGTTCATGATGCCTCATTTTTCTCCTTAACTCTTTTATTGAGGCAGTATAGGCCTGTTTCTGTCCTCCACCCAACATAATGTGGCCTCTCTCTCCTCTTCTGCTTCCATCTCTCTTGACATCATCTCCAACCTCCTCTCCTTGCTCCGTAGTTGATGTTTTTGTTCATGCTTAAGTGGTTTTTCACCCCTGTGGCTGGTGGGTTTGTGCTGCTCCCTTTCCTGGGAGTGCTTTTAATGAATTCAGCCACTCCAAAAATGTGGCAATTCAGGGAAGAGTGATCCCTCAAACACTCACCTTGACCTGGGCAAATCAGAAGCACTTGAGAAGTGGTGGTAGGAAATGCTGTATGACACTCCTGTGGGTGATTTTTTTAATGGCTTCCCTTGCTTTATGTGTCTGTTAGGGTGCTGAGCCTGTGAGCACTGTGGTCTTGGCCATGCAGATCATCTCTGGATCCTCTAGCATGGCTTAGCCTTACTGCTGGACAAGGAGCAGAGAAGAGCTAGTGGCAGATCTGTGAGGGTCTCAGCTGAGCTCTTGAACCCTCATCTCTTCATCCTTTGCTGGCTTAGCAAAATTAGTACCTGGTCTGAAGCTGGGATGGTCATTTGAAAACCAGTTGTTGTTCATGTTCAGTGTCTGAATTCCAGAAAAGGCCCTGGGGAAGTGCACCATAAGCAGGTCTGAAGAACATGTCCTGGGGCTGCTGCAGCCCCTGAGTGATGTGGTGCCAATCAAGTCCTGCTCCATAGCACTGTGCTAAAATCACAGGGTGGGAAGTTTCCACAAGCAATTCTTTGTAGCAGGTATGGGACTTCTGCCTCAGCCTTCAGCTTTTATGAACAAATCCATTAATCCTCTTGCTCTTTTTCCCCTTTCAAGCCCTGAAGACAGAGCTATTCAGCACCTTGATGCATTTCTGTCTGGGCTTCAGCTCCTGACTTGCCTTCTGTTGGTGCATTAGGGATATGCAGGGTGCAGGTGCTCCCTTTTCCCTGCTAGACTGAATCAAGCTGCTGCCAACTTATTTTTTTTTCTGGGCAAACTGAGCCCCAAGGTCAAGCAGAAACTCTAACTGGCAGGAAAAGAGCTGTGTTTCTTAATGAGATGATCTGTTTTGGTTCCATGGAGATTTGTATTTGTTTTCTCAGAGGAGCAGTTTGGCTGTGGTACTTGTGGCTTCACCATCCCAGGGTATCCCTGTTGGGGGGGGCTGAGAACTTGTCCAGCTTCTAAACTGTGATATTTTTCCTCACTCAGTGAGTGTGTGGTGTGTGATGGAAAAGCTGCTCAGTGGTTCAGCTGAGGTACCAGGAGGGTGGTTGAGGGCAGGAATGGAGCTGGGTCTGGAGAGCAGCAGTGGGAGGTGGCTGCTCATCTCTCCTCCCTCTCCATCCTGGCAGTCAGGTGAGGGCTTCCCTTTAATTTATCAGACCTCTCCTTTCCTCTTAGCATTACTGATTCCTCTCCTTTACATCCCCTCCCTTTCATTCTTCCACCTCATAAAATTTTGAAATGCAGATCTTCTCAGAGCTGGCAAGAAGTTACTTTGATTCATGAGGCTGGCTTTCAGGTGCAGCCATCTTTACATAACCTTTTTTAATTGCTCATTAAAGCATAACAAGTTTGCTGGTGATTGGAAGCAATTTTTTTACCCCTTGCAGGCAGCAGTGGCACACCAAGGTCAATGAAACCTCCAAAGCAGCTACCAACCACCTCATCCTCTGGGATTGCACTGCCACTGGCACATGGACATTTTGAACCTGGCTGCTACATACTCACTTAAGCTGCTCTCAGAGTGTAGAGGGAAAGCAGGAACATGGGAAGTGTTCAGAAGATGGGATTTTTCTCCTGTGAAAATAGCTTTTCTTTCATGTGGGTTTTATTTTTTAAGATTGAAAAAAAGAAGAGAGAAGCAAGCTGCTGGTGGTAGAAATGGGAGTGTTTTTTCCTGACCTGATCCAGCTGTACAACCTGCCCTGAAGTCCATGGAATCAGGCAGGGGTGGGAGTTAATGGGCAGTTAAATAATTGGATTGCTCTGGCTGGTTTTAAAAGGCTCAAAGGCAGTTTCCAAAGCTGAGGGCTCTGAGGTGCTGGCTGCATGTCCCCAGTGGAGCAGGGCTGGCCATGGGTGAAAGGCAGCACCCAGGGCAGGAGCTGCTGCAGGTATCACAGGTGGGTCCTGGTGCTTGTGGTTTGCTCCTCTGCACAGGTTGTTCAGCTCTGGACCAAGTTCCTTGTCCTGTCCAGCTTTGCAGCGCAATGCCCAGAACAGCATGTGCATGACTGTTGAGGCTGGATTTGGCATTTGCTCTTCTCCATCCTTTCTCTTTGCCTTTCTCCCACTGTTAGTAGCTTTGACCATCTTCAGAGCTGTTTTTTCAGCTGGTTTTTGCCAAATCATGTTGTTGGGCTTTGTTGGCCCCATTTGGTGGCTCTTTGCAGGCTGCCAGCACAGTATGTCAGGCTGGATCTGGTGCAGGTTGTTTCACCTTGCAAAAGCCCAGTGGGTTTTACCCCCAAATATACTTATTTTTTGTCCAAAGGAGTTTGCCAGGATTTCAGATGTAAATGTTTACCCCCTTTTCTTTTTTTTCTTCTGTCATAGTTGTATATGCAAGTTGACAGGAGCTGCTAGCAGCCTGCTTCTGCCAAGCAGCAAACACAGCCAGTGCTGCAGCAGTTTGCAGATAAATAATGTATTACAGCCTGTCAAATAAAGCTTTGAGCAAATACCACTTTCGAGGGCCATATATTGTGAATCTGAATATTACCCTACAAATCATTCTTTCCCAGACCCTTTTGATTCCTTATTACACACGCATAGTGGCTCTGGGAACAGATCACCTTTTTCAGGTACCCCTAAACCTGGCAGAATTAGTGCTGGCAATATTTCTGCTCATGTTGTTTGTTTAGGCAGCATAAATAAGCTCCAAAATCATCCCTCAATGCTTTCCTCTCCATCCAAAAGACCTTGGGGATATATATGTTTGGGATTTTTTTGCTCTGTCAATTGGAACTGAGAAGTAGCACATGGAGCTAATTTTTTTCAGGTGCCTGCTTGAGTTTTTAGGGAACACATAGTTTGTTTGATCTGGTTTTTACATGAAGCCCTCTGAGAAATTTAAGACTCTGCTCAAATATACCTTGGTCTTTTGCTCATGTAAGTGTCTAAGAAGGATGGAAGTAATATTGCAAGGATGTCTGGTTGAAGTTGAAGTTCTAAAATCAGATTTAGAGAAGATAGGTTTAAGAAAATCTGAAGAATTAAAAGCCTAGGAAGCTCAAGATGCTGATTCTTGCACAGTGGGAGTACTACACATCATGGTGTTTGTTTGATATCCCTTTTAATACTCTGATGTGACAACATTTTATATTCTTTCCTGGTGTTTGTGGACTAGTAAGACCGTGTAGTGACTCTGGGATAAGCCTGGGCACTCGGGTATGGACATAACTGCAGAATAAGCAGCACAGGATCTGTGCAGCTCAGCCATTGGTATTCCTGTTGCAGGGGAAGTCCAGAGAATATAGATTGAAATTCCAAAGCCCAGACAGAGCTGACTCCCCCATTCAGTCACCTCAGGGCTGCTGGTGAGGCCCCAGATTGAAATCTGTGGTCACTTCTGGGCCCCTCAGGACAAGAAGGACACTGAGGGGCTGGAGCATGTCCAGAGAAGGGTAATGTTTCAGCTGGTTTTTGCCAAATCATGTTGTTGGGCTTTGTTGGCCCCATTTGGTGGCTCTTTGCAGGCTGCCAGCACAGTATGTCAGGCTGGATCTGGTGCAGGTTGTTTCACCTTGCAAAAGCCCAGTGGGTTTTACCCCCAAATATACTTATTTTTTGTCCAAAGGAGTTTGCCAGGATTTCACATGTAAATGTTTACCCCCTTTTCTTTTTTTTCTTCTGTCATAGTTGTATATGCAAGTTGACAGGAGCTGCTAGCAGCCTGCTTCTGCCAAGCAGCAAACACAGCCAGTGCTGCAGCAGTTTGCAGATAAATAATGTATTACAGCCTGTCAAATAAAGCTTTGAGCAAATACCACTTTCGAGGGCCATATATTGTGAATCTGAATATTACCCTACAAATCATTCTTTCCCAGACCCTTTTGATTCCTTATTACACACGCATAGTGGCTCTGGGAACAGATCACCTTTTTCAGGTACCCCTAAACCTGGCAGAATTAGTGCTGGCAATATTTCTGCTCATGTTGTTTGTTTAGGCAGCATAAATAAGCTCCAAAATCATCCCTCAATGCTTTCCTCTCCATCCAAAAGACCTTGGGGATATATATGTTTGGGATTTTTTTGCTCTGTCAATTGGAACTGAGAAGTAGCACATGGAGCTAATTTTTTTCAGGTGCCTGCTTGAGTTTTTAGGGAACACATAGTTTGTTTGATCTGGTTTTTACATGAAGCCCTCTGAGAAATTTAAGACTCTGCTCAAATATACCTTGGTCTTTTGCTCATGTAAGTGTCTAAGAAGGATGGAAGTAATATTGCAAGGATGTCTGGTTGAAGTTGAAGTTCTAAAATCAGATTTAGAGAAGATAGGTTTAAGAAAATCTGAAGAATTAAAAGCCTAGGAAGCTCAAGATGCTGATTCTTGCACAGTGGGAGTACTACACATCATGGTGTTTGTTTGATATCCCTTTTAATACTCTGATGTGACAACATTTTATATTCTTTCCTGGTGTTTGTGGACTAGCAAGACCGTGTAGTGACTCTGGGATAAGCCTGGGCACTCGGGTATGGACATAACTGCAGAATAAGCAGCACAGGATCTGTGCAGCTCAGCCATTGGTATTCCTGTTGCAGGGGAAGTCCAGAGAATATAGATTGAAATTCCAAAGCCCAGACAGAGCTGACTCCCCCATTCAGTCACCTCAGGGCTGCTGGTGAGGCCCCAGATTGAAATCTGTGGTCACTTCTGGGCCCCTCAGGACAAGAAGGACACTGAGGGGCTGGAGCATGTCCAGAGAAGGGTAATGGAGCTGGGGAAGGGGCTGGAGCACAAGTTTGATGAGGGGCAGCTAAGGGAGCTGGGGATGTTCAGCCTGGAGACAAGGAGGCTGAGGGGAGACCTTCTGGTTCTGCAACTGCCTGAGAGGAGGTTGAAGCCAGGGAGAGTCTCTCCTTTCCTTGAGTAAAAACTGATAGGACAAGAGGAAATGGCCCTAAGTTGTGCCAGGGGAGGTTTAGATTGGATATTATGAACAATTTCTTCATTGAAGAGTGGTCAAGCACTGAAACAGGCTGCCTAGGAAGTCACCCTCCCTGCAGGTGTTCAAAAAACATGTGGACATGGTTTAGTTGGAGCGGTGTTGGGTTTGATGGTTGGGCTTGATGATCTTTAAGAGCTGTTTTCCAACCTGAATGGTTCTATGAACAGTTTGAACCTATGTTGAGTGCAGCCACTGGATGGTTTTTGTAACAATCTTCAGCAAACAAGCAAGCAGAACAAAACAAACCAGTGTTCAGTGTACAGACCAAAAATGGCCAGTCAGGCTGGGAAGAAGAAACAACTCCACCGTTCAAGGCATGAGGTTTTTAAATCCATTTGCGGTTGTACAGGGCTGCTGAACTCTCACTGAGGGGTTTGGTGCTCTGGCATCCCTCCCCAGGCAGTTGCAGGGCTGGTCACTCTGGTAGCAGCAATGACAATACACTGCTCCTGGGTTTTGAAGCAGGTTTTTTGTTGTACTTGCCTTCTCTGGTTAGGGTTTTAGGTAGGTGGAAATTTCCCATAGTGGTGCTGTCAGTTGTGACAAATCTTTATAAGGAGGGAGGCAAGTCAGCTGGAATGAGAAGTCTTTCCCTGAGGAGTGTCTGGTACCCAAGCTTGGCTCTTTCTGAAGGAGTGATATGTCCTGGGGGCAAGTTAAAATTCATCTTACACTTTATTTTTGGAACACCCCCATGTCTCAGCCCCACGTCCCACCACACTGAGCCTGAACTGGAAGGGGCAGCTGGGCCTTCAGCCCATGATGTATGGGCTGCAGGGTTGTGCTCGTGGAGGCAGGATGCTCTTTTGTACCCTAAACCTGTGGTGTAAATGACATTTCCTGGCTTCCCTTCAGGTTGGAAGGGTCTACAGTTAGAAAATGGATGGTCTGAGTCCACAGCAGCATTCACGATGCCCCATCTCTACAGTTGAGGGCCCAGAGGAGGTTCTCCTGCCCATGCCAGATGGTTCCTTAACCATCAGAGCTGCTTCATTTCCCAGCAATTAGCCTTGCAGCTGGTGGTGGCAGGAGGAGAGGTGAAAGGAAGCCCATGTCTGTGTTTCAGAAGCTCCAGTGGCTTTTTTTAATAAAGATGTTCCTCGTGGAGGTGCTTGTGAATTGGTTCAGGCTGGATGCTTCTCAGAAGCTGGCATTTGATTTCCCACAGGAGAAGGTGGATTGAGTTAGTGGGGCTGAGGGGGGAAGAAAAGTCTGGAAACAGAGGGTCTGTCAATTTATTGTGGATCATTGTATTGCTGTTCTATAAAGCTGTGCAATGAAGGGGATATGGAAGCAGGGAAAAGTCTTTATTTGCCTTTCATGTGATGAAGCTTTTCCTCCATGCATTGAAGCAAAGAGTTGGGACGGGATTGGGAGTATTTAGCAGACATTTAAGATTATGGGTAGTCATTTTAAATGATTATAGGAAGTATTTGAATGTGGTATAAGGGCTGGGCTGGTGAAGCTGAGTCAGGTTGGTGGTGGGAGAGAAGTGCTGTGCCCCGTTTCTCCTGCCTTCTTGCCCTTCCAGTAACACCTTTGATTTCCTTGCTGGTCACGTTGGCTTCTAATGAACATCTAAGTCCTGCCTGTTATATTTTAGGCTGATTCCTTCAGGATCTCGGGTGTCCTGGCTTGTGGGAAGAACGCTGGAGCTCGTTACATTTCAGGAGTTACTGTATCCTTGCTGGTGTGGGGATGCAGAATCCGCTGCTGGCCCCAAGTGGCTGCAGGTGGAAGCTGCTCTGGAGATGTTGGACTTCAGCTGTTCGCTTAGATTTTGGGGATGCAGTTGGAGATGCAGTTGAGAGGTGGATGGGACCTCCTTGTTCCCTCCTCAGTTGTCTCTGTCGTGCGTGTCATGCATGGGAGCTGCTCTGTCCCAGCTGGTGCCCAGTGATGCCTTGGCTGAGCTTTTCTTTAAGATAGATGGAAGGGAAAGGCTGCCAGATAACTTCTTAGTGTGAAATCAAGCTCAGGGTGCTCTGCCCTGCATCCCATCCTTGTGCGGTTTGAAGTTGTGGGGTTGTGAGTTTTTTTTCAGCCCTGAGTGACTAGAAAAATAACCTGTACAAAACATCCCATGTGGGAAGGCAACAGATCATGATCACCTGGGAAAGAACTTGATTTTTCTTGACTTTTCAAATACCTGGGGGGTTTTAAGACTGTATTGAGTGCTGAAAGAAAAACCAATGTAGACTTTGCACCCTTTTCTGCCTTCAAATGGAGGGGATGGGTGAGCTGTATTTGGTTGGCCGGAAGATGTTGCAGAGGGCAGGAGAGCACAGACATGACACTTCTGCTCCCAGACAGGGGGTGGGACAAATCAAGGTTTTTCCACTTGCAGACTGTTAGAAGCCAAATTGTTAATTAATAAACACAATTGCTATTTTGTCACAAAAGAAAAAAATAGGCAGACTTGTCTCACCCAAGTTTTTCTGTGTAACCTTTAAGCTACATCCCCCATCTATCCCTTCTGCAATTAATTTAAATGCATCTGACACCAGCCTGGGGGCAAATTTTGAACTTCTTTACCCTTCACTGTGATTCTCTTTTTCTCTGCTCAGTGGTGATTGTATTTGAATTTGGAAACTTCAGTTATATTTGAGTTTGGAAAATTCTCCAAGCTGGCCTTTGCAGTGACCTTTGCTGTGTGCCTGTGTATGGGAGAGCAGTGCTGGGCTGCCAGGGATGGACTTTGGGCAACCTCTGAGATTTGAGGTGTTGATTTTTAAAGTGAAATAAGCCTAAAATAAGAAGCATTAATTTCATGGTTGTCAGACTGAGATCTGTAAAAGCCAAGTCAGCTGAAGTCTAACACTGATGTTTTAGAGCGACAAAGAGGTGGGAGAGGGAAGAAAATATTAAATCTGCATTATTCATCTGGCAGAGACATGGTAAGCAAACCCAGAAGCTTCCCAAGGTGAGAAAATTGCTCTTCCCTTCTCCCCTGCAGCAAAAGCCAGGAGAAAGTAAACTAGTGCTGGAGATATGGGTTAATGGAGATGACCTTTCTTTGCTGAAAGGCATGTGGGAAGTTCTGCAGGGGCCTCACAGCAGCATTTGAAAGGGTCTTGAAAGGGTTTAGGACAAGGAGAACGTTCTGAGACTGGGGAAAGTGAGGTCTGGATAGCTCCATGAACCTCTACTGAGCTTGGAGCAGGGAAGAGCTACAATGAGACTTAATTCTTGCAAGGTTTTTCTTCCCTGGTTTGTTATCCACCAGTCCCCTTTCTAGCAAACATGGAACTGCTCCTGCATATCATGGAGTCATAGAATGGTTTGAGTTGGAAGGAACCTTATAGATCATCTAGATCCAGTTCCTCTGCATGAGCAAGGTCACCTCCCATTGTATCAGGTTGCTCAGAGCCCCATCTCACCTGCCCTTGAAACTTGCTTCTTTTGAAGCATACACTTGCATGTTAGCTTGGTCCTGTGCGTATTTCTGATCCATCATAAAATGTCACTGCAGCAGCCAAGTTCTTTGGATGGTTATTGAGATATCCAAGCTGGAAATGTCTGAACACCTTAGTGTTCTTACTTTTCAACCTTTTGGAGACGTTTGGACACTAGCTTGGTGTCAGGTTTAAGTAATCAACTGGCCTTTTCCAGCCCAGCTCTGGGATAAAGCTAGGAGGATGGATGAGATCCAAGGACTGGGATAAAGCTAGGAGGGGGAGATCCAAAGACTAGGATAAACCTAGGAGGGGGAGATCCAAAGACTTCTGGAGAGGCTGTTTAAGGAGTATCAAGCAGGCAAACTGTTGAGTTATTGACAGAGACAGCCTTGGGGGGAAGTTGATATTTGAACACACTAGGATTTTTCATTCAGCAGTGTTAATTGTGCCACCAATTTTTAATTGGTGCCTTTTCCCCCCCCTGCCCCTGGATGGAGCTTTCTCCTGTTTTCATCTCCCTTTTGTTTCTCTGCCTTCCCTCTCCCAGTTTGAGCGGCACGACCCGGTGGAGGGGCGGATCACGGAGCGGCAGTTCGGCAGCATGTTGCTGGCCTACAGTGGGGTGCAGTCCAAGAAGCTCACAGTCATGCTCAAGCAGCTCAAGAAGCACTTCCAGGATGGAGAGGTCAGTGGCCAACTCAGGAAGTGCCTGCACCTCATGGAATCACAGAATGTCAGGGGTTGGAAGGGGCCTCTGAAGATCATGGAGTCCAACCCCCCTGCTGGAGCAGGACCAAAGAATCACCCACAACTAGGGCAGGTCACTCAGAAAGGCCTCCAGACAGGTCTGGAAAGTCTCCAGAGGAGACTCCACAGCCTCTCTGGGCAGCCTGTCCCAGGGCTCTGTCACACTGACAGGAAAGAAGTTCTTCCTCATGTTGAGGTGGAACTTCCTGGGCTGGAGTTTGAATCCATTGCCCCTTGTCCTGTCCCAGGGCACAAGTGACAAGAGCTTGTCCTGCCTTCTTGATGCCCTCATCTATTCATAGACATTCATTAGATCCCCTCTTACTCTTCTCTCCAGACTAAACACCCCCAGGTCTCTCAGCCTTTCCTCATGAGACAGATGTTCCAGTCCCTTCATCATCCTCGTGGCCTCTGTTGGACTCTCTCCAGTAGATCCCTGTCCCTCCTGAACTGGGCAGCTCAGAGCTGGACACGCCTGGTTAAGCAGGGTGGGCAGATGTGCTGACTTAGCAGGTGGGAAATACTTTGCCAGCAGCAGGGACGTGGAAAGGGTGAGAGTGTCCAGATTGAGATGGAAGCTCTTGCCCATTCCAATGGATGCTGTAGTTTTCCAAATGTAAATTTGCTGAACCACACTCTGGATCCAGAGCCAGGATAAACATTGAAGATGTTCCTAGTTCCTGGCTCGGCGCTGCATTAATTAGGTGCTGCAACTGGGCAGTTTGTTATTGAGTTACGAACTTTATCTGAAAAAATTACTTGAATTACTCATGATTTAGAGAGGAATAAAGTTGAAGATCCTACACTCTTTAACTTAGTAAGAGGCCTTGGAGAAAGGCACCTGGACTGAAAGGATGTGCTTTGTCAGGTAAGGCAAGTGTGGGCTGCTAAATGACTCCAGTGTTAGAATTTCACATCTGCTTCTATAAAGATGAACTGTTCTTTTACTAACTGGGTTATAAACAAGCAAATGATGAACATGAGAAAGGATGGCAAGTCTTTTTGGCTGCATATTGGGTCAATCTGGCTGTTGTAGAGCCTCTTTCTCCTGATACTAGAACTGGCATTTATTTCTTAATTGGTTGAGATGCAAAGCATGTTATAAACCACAAGTGTTGGTCAGCATCTAGTCCTTTTTTGTCCTTTTTTGGTGCCTTAACTGGACTCCTGTCATGTGCAGGAATCTTCACTTTATGTGAAGCCACTCCAGTGAGTGATCTCCTGCATTTTCTCCCTCTTTCACTGGTGCTGAAGGAGAATTTGGGTGTACTGAAGCAGCAGAGCACATATAGTAATGGCTCGATTAACTGTAAATAATGCCAGAAAGTTAAAAACTGGAGGAAACTAAGCAAGCCAAAAAGCCACACTCAGAGTTGTGTTCCTGCCAGAGGAGCTGCACTGCCTGCAGCTTCTCAGGGCTTTTGGGGTTCCAGAAAGTGTTTTTTTGCAGATTCCCTCATGTTGTGTAGGAGAATAGGCTCAGTATTGAATAGGCTGATATCAATAGATGGTGTCAACATGTCCTCAGAGCTGAGACGTGTTGTGTGTTAAAATTTGGAAACCTCACTTCTCAAGCTCTTGGTCATCAGCTTCAATAACACCAGTGGTGTTTCCAAGGTTGTGTTTGTTTATTTGATGTTTGAGCGAGGTGCTGCAGATTCAGCTTTTCCAATAGCTCTGCTCCCCCTGAGTTTTAACAGGAAGAATTTGATTTCTTGTGGAAAAAATACTTGACTGTGATGTTTGTTTAACAGAAAGTATCAGCACTGTTGTTTCATGTTCCCAAACTGTTGGTTCTTTTACTGTGATTTGGGGTTTTTTAACATAGATATACACACACACCTATATATTATTGAGCAGGAGCTGGTATATGAGAAATGAGGAAGGTTTTGAAATAAATTTTTGGAAGGTTTCTTACAGCAGATGTTTTCTTCCTTTTGCATGTAAGCCAAGGCTTTCCTCTGCCACAGATGTCAAGAACTTTTAGCTTTTACCTTATTTCTCCTTCCCAAATCAGCCAGATGGTGCTTCTACTTGCAGATAACCAGATTCAGAGCAAGTCTTTTTTTTTTCTTTCTTTATTCCAAGGACTTTTAAGAAGTGAAATTGGGGAATAGGACAAAAAAATGACATTTGCAAGAAACAGAATTGATGGAAACCACATGTTTCCTTAGACCAGAGGGAATTAAATACCCCAAATCCTAAAATGAGGTAGCCTCTCTGTTAACAAGTAGAAGATATTTATTTATTTGAGGAGATGTAAAGGGTGCAAGAAGTGTCTGCATTTGGAGGCAGATCAGTCCTTTTTAGCAGCTGGGGCTGCTCAAAGTCAATGTTATACAGAGCTAGAGAAATCAGGCACTGAAATATTCCACTTCAGCAGGTTTTAGCTCATGTAGAATCCAGCCTGGTGCCTAAGTTTGCACTGTCTTGTATACAAGATAACCTTTTCTTGCAAGTTTGTGGGGTTCATTTTACCTCTGAGGTATTTTAGAAGACCCTATCCCTTGTGGATTTGTGTGCAGCCCTTTTTGTCTAAATACTCTTATGCACTTTCACTGGATCAGCCTGGTGCAGCTGTCAGTGCTTTTTCCACAGCTTCAATTTCCCCACCTCTTTAGAAACAGCCCTGCTGTGACCAGAAGCACATTCATTACTTTTGAGCTTTCTGGATAACTTACTCAGGGATATGTTTGCAAAGTTTGCTTTACCAATAAACAGAGTATTAACCCAGAAGACATTTTCCCACTTGAAGGTGTGAAAGCTCAACGTTGGTTTTGTTTCTTACTGTGTCTATAACCCAGATATCTGCAGAGCCAGCAGCTGCTTGACCCGAGCTCTGCATTACTCCCATCCTATAAAAAGGGAGCGGAGCTGCTGCTACCCTCTGTCCGCCCTTAAGCTCCCAGAGCTCAGAGACCTTCAAGCCACCCAGCCACCTCATTTATCCTGCAACACTTTCCAGTCACTGAACACCTGGTAGGTCAGAGAGGTTGACAATGCAAATATGTTTTGCAGGAAGGATTTTTCCTCAAATCCTTTCTTATCGCACTTCACCAGCCTACATTTGAAGCAACATAGTATCATTCTCAGTTTACTAACCTGCTGCAACTCCTCTCTATGCCCAAAGCAGCAAGGGCTTTGACTTGCTATTGCTTTCCAAGGGAAGCACAAGTAAAATGATTTTAACAGTGTGATTCTGGGGGGGGGAATGGCACTAGTTGTACCAAACCTTCCCAGAAAGCTTTTCCTGGGAAATGCAATTTCCCTTCTGAGAAAACCTGCCAAATATGAGGCACAATGCAACCCTGGCAGCCTTCAAAACCTTAATCTAACCTGTAGCCATTGCACAACATTGTTATTCTGCATTTCTGCTTTTGGGAATGGCACGTTCTCTTGTAGTAATTGACTGTCTGCTTTCCTTTTTATATTTTTTGAGGAAAAATCCACCTTAGTTCTGCATATTCAAAGCTCTACTTGGTTTAAAATGGCTTTTACTTACATGGCTGCTCTTCTCCTTTTGTTCTTTGGATGGAGATATGAAGGATTTCTCAAGAGCTGAGCAGTGTTGACAGATACATCCACAGGGAATAGTTAAATTCCCACACTCAGGCTTGAGACTGTTGAGGGTGATAATTCATCTGTTGGCTTGTTGGTCCAAGCTTCAGGCTGTCCCCAGGCTGATTTTTAGTTTGGTAGCTGTGAAAGAGTTAATGCTGATACCAGCATCAATTATAATCAACCAAATACTCAGTTTTGTAATATTGATAACACTTTTGCTACAGAGATCCAGGATTTCTGTCCACAAAGAAGCCCAGATTTGTAGGATACCCCTTCACATTCTGGGTTTTGCTTCTTCTGTTGGTGTAAGGACCACAGGTTTACAGATGCAAGGATGTAAACCTTCCCTGTTTCCTGCT